ATTTTTTGTGTTCGTGAAAAAGATTTGTGCAACCAAATATTTTTAAGGTTAACTTAGTGAAAATACAGTAACTCAAAAAATATTCTTTGAAAGTATGAATTTAGGGCTGTTCATAATTCAGTTCAAAAAGTTCACTCTGAACCGAACTAAACTATAGTAAAAGTTCACTCGAACTGAACCGAACTGTTTCAATTTACTCAGAACTGAACCGAATCAAAATTATTGATTTGGTATACTGTTTCAAAATTCCAAACCAAATCGTTAAAAGACAATTTTCCTGAACCGAACCGTTTATTAAAGAACCGAACTGTTAAACTATTTTTTTTTAAATTAAAGCTTATTTTTAGTATTTTTTTATTTTCAATTTTGGTTCGGTTTGGTTTCAGTTTCGATTCAATTCGATTTTAGTTTCGATTCGGTTCTAGAACTGTTTGAGTAATATGATTTGATTCACTAGTCAAACATAACAATTTTGTTATTTTAACTTCAGTTCGACGGTTCAGTTCAACTCATGATTTTTTTTAACAACCCCATATGAATTGGAGTTTGTAAATTAAAATTTTGGAGGACATTTTTTTAGTTAAATAAGAAGCAGATAAGACTGCTTCACCCTACAAATAGTTAGATACTTTGTTTGTTAAAAGTAAGACTCGAACTACTTTCAAAAGATGTTTATTTTTCTCTCTTCCACTTAGGCATGACAAATAAATCCGCTTCCGCCGGACTCCGACCGCCCCCGCCCTGAAATTAGCAGGGAAAATCTGATTTAACCGGGGGCGGGTGCAGGGAAAACCCGATTTTTATTTACGGATGCGGGTGCGGGGGCGAATGTTAGTATTCGCCCTGCACCTGCACCCGCCCCGCACCTGTCAACTAAATTTAATTTATTTCATCTATCTTTAATAGTTTTATTACTCATTTACACTTTTTAATGTTATAATATCATGTTTATTAGAATTTTTTTTTTTGAAAATACAATTTAAATAAAAATATCAAACATAAAAAATGCTGTTAAAATAATTAATTATTTAGTTTAATCATTGATTTTTATTTTTATTGAAAAAATATATAAATTTGAAAAAATTAATATTTTATTCGGGAGGGTGTGGGAAAACCCGTTTCTTAATGGAGGCGGGGGAACAAATATTAGCTCCGACTAGATTTAAGTGCGGGAACGGATCTGGGTCTGAGTGGCGGGTGCGGGTCTGGGTGTGCTTAAACCCGTCTCGTTGCCATCCCTACTTCCACTTCATTTTGTTAGGAAGGATTAGAACATGAACTTTGATGTACAATGCCGTTTTGACGGGAAAAAATCACTCAAATTAGTGTTTAAATATTTTTTTGCCATTATCGCTTCTAAAAAATTGAATGGTAGTCTGAAAATGATTTTGCACCATTTTGAAAAAATCACTTACAACCTAAGAAACATTTAACTTCCCCTTTGACAAGTATACTCAACATACTTTTGAATGGTCATCTATAAAAATGATAAATCATTTTTATCATTTTTTGAATGAGAGTGAACTCGTACAATTAGGGTCTTAAATATCACATTGTGAATAACAGAGAAAGATTTTGTTGATTTATAAAGTTGTATTGAAAAATGAGAAGGATGATGATTTGCAAATTTTGCATGCTTCACATTTAAATAAGGATAAATCTTTATTATAAAATAGATCCTTCTGCGACTTTACCTGCCAATTGATTAGTTGCACATGAATATATTATCCAAGTCTAGTTCGGAGTGACACTAAGAAAGGTACTTTTTGTGTTATAGAGCAAGGTGGAGTTGATGACTCGAGGAGCTTGATCAGTTTGCCTATCTGTTCCAAAGTGATTGAAATATGACTTGAGGATGACACCTCTCATTACCACCTTTCTTCCGCCAATCTTCTGCCAATTTGAAGGCTTTCCATTGAGTTTCCAGTATTTCTCTTTGTGTGCCATGCACGATTACAGTGTGCACAGCAGCGCTTGTTTGACTTTTCTCCCTCGTTGAATTTTTTGGTAGCAAAACAGAGCCTTCTGATTCAAAGATATGAGGTGTCTTGCCCATCATGATTCCTTGTCACACTTTTTCCCTTCTTATTTCTTAGAAGGTTTCTCGAAAGGTTGGTAGTGGTGATTTCATCAAAATCTTGATTCAACCCAGCAAAGAACATAAAGACGCGATCATTCTCTTGCCTTTTGAGAAATAGGACAATGTCTTTGGTACACCTTCGGCAGAGATCCAGTTCTTACCACAAGGTCAGCATCCCATTATATTAGGTAGTTACATCTCTATCACCTTGTTTTGCATCCCCCCAACTTTGACTTTACTCCAAAAATTTAAGAGTTCAGAACTTCAGTGTTTGTTTCCTTAACAGTTTCCCATAATGCAGCTTTAGACGATAAGAACATATATGGCTTCCCTATTCTAGATTTTATAGTGCATATCAATAAGGAAATAACCATGGAATTTCTTAGAATGTATAAGTTGGGTCTAACTCAACCCTACAAAACTGGTTTGTAGGGTGAGAATTACCCCCACTTATAAGCACATGTTCAGGCCATATATTATCCGATGTAGGGCTCTTAACACCCCCTCTCACGCCCATAATTGAACGTCTGGAGCATGAAACTAAATGGTGGGTGGGTGGTCCAACGGATCTTAAACTGAGCTCTGATACAATCTTAAGAAATGTGATTGGACCTAACTCAACCCTACAAAACTGACTTATAAGATGAGTATTACCTTCACTTATAAACACATATTCAGACCATATATTGTCCGATGTGAGACTCTTAACAGAATTTACAATCATATGTTTTTTGTTGAGTGAGTCACTTAAGGCTGGTTTTGCAATTGCTTCAATTAGAAACCCAAGCTTTCCTTTGCCGTCAATCACCAATATAACAATTGTAGCCCAATGATTCTAGTTTTCTCCATTCATTTTGGGAATATTAATTTTAAGAGAGTTTATAAAACCCTCTTGATCGTTGAAACAAGTATTGAAGTAGCTATCAATGTGTTGTAGAGTGTGTCGAGGCTTCCGTCGTTTCCTCTGCCGCCGCCTCCGTGTCCCCACAAACCTCCACTGCAGCTAGCACTAATGACAGGGAAGTCTTCCTCGTCAACAGTCAGACCTGCGAGAGTCTGCTTCCATTGATTTTGGTAGCCTCCCATGAAGAAGGTTGTGAGGTAGATAGAATGCTTACTTTCAAATCCTAGATTGAAAACCTAGAACTAATGATACCATATTAAAGAAAATAGGTAAAAGTAGTTGTAATTTTATTTGTCAGCATTAGCTGGTATTTATAGGGATATTACAACCTAATTATTTCCTTAAATTAAGGATAATAATAACAATAAAAAATAAGCAAATATTCCAAAATAAATGGCAAATATTCTAAATATAGAAACTATTACAATAAGGTAACCAAAATTTAAATGAATCAATGTTTGGTCGATCACAAATAAGCAGTTAAGACTCCTAAGGCTAAAATGATGCAGTCCAATAGATGACATGATTGAGGTAGTTTAAGGTTGGGCAATATGCATACAGTTGCTGCAGGTGCAAAGTGGTTTAGAACAACAGTAGCTCCATCCTCGTCTGACACTGCTCGCTAAACCAAAGTAAGGATTGCTGTTCTTGGATATCTTGATGCCAAACACCAGTTCCCCTTTTCTTCCTTAATACCCTGTGTTTATTAGAAAAACAAAAACTCAGGTCACAAATTCTAACCTGTTAAAGTTCAGGATGGATCGCCGTTCACTCCTGTCTCTTCTGCAAGCAAGAAAGAGTATGTAAGTCCAACTTTTTTTATGCAGTAAAACAATTTTTATCTTGTTTGTTAGAAAACAGAAGCAAATGGTAAACAAATTAGAATTTGGCCGCTCAGTTAAATTTTTTACCATCACTTGGATAGAGAAAATGGTATTCAATTCTATGTTATGTGTGGTGGTAGTCTAGAGAAAATGGTATTCAATTCTATGTTATCAGGCCATCACTCTGAACAAGCTTATGTGTGGTGGTAGTCTAGAGAAAATGGTATTCAACTCTATGTTATCAGGCCATCTCTAAAAATGGAACGGAACGGGAGCAGGGGGTGTGGAACGGCCGATATTTGAGTGACGCGGACACTAATACAGTTAACACTAATGAACACAATTTTTAAAAAGTAAAATTAATTAATCAAAATTCATGAAATATTCATATTTAGAAATAGAAGTCATAAGTCTTAACCAAAACATACTTGCAAATGCCAATAAAATTTTATAAAATAACTTTGCTATCCTAAAAAAATTAAGGGTGATATCATATACGGCTGATGCAGTCAGAGCGGCGTTGTTCCGAATCCAATCTCATTATTGTGGTCATTCCAACCAAGTCACTCATTTGTGGCAGAACGGCTGAAACGGCCGAGTTTAATAACATGCCTTTTACAGTTCCAGTTTAAATTATAAGAAAAATAACTAACTACACAGATACTAAGAAGAGTAGTTAACCACATTTAATTTTCTTGATGTAATCAAAAAAATAATTGCATTGTCCATACTACATTTTCTTTTCATCGTAATCGTGTAAGAAAACTTGTCCTATTGAAGGCTATTTTGCAAATAATAGCATTAAATATGGTCAAATAAGTTAGATTTTACCTATGTTTTGGTTCCTCAAATATGTCCTTTTTTTTTGCTTATATTTGAGAAAAATGTAGTGCTTCTTTCACTTACTCTAGATATAACTAAATGCAATATCTTTGAATTTTTTACTTTCATATCTATATTTTCATCTAAAATTCTAAATACTAACTTCTCAGTACCAATCACCTAATTAAGTAGTCAAGTTTAGAATAATTATATATATATGCATTAAAATTTAATCTATTTATCTAAATTTTGTACAAAAAAAATGTTGCCTAAGAATGGACAACAAAACAATGTTATCACAATGTCCAAGGACTACCTAAGCTTACCAGTCAATTTCCTGCAAGAAAAATATTGTGATTGTCGATAACATTTAGTAGTCGCTCAAAAGAGGATCATAATCGTATGCTTCACCTGCTTTAACGAATCGACCTTTCACACGTTTCCTTGTATCAGCCCTTGCTTTGCGAGAGGCATATCTTATTTGCTTACCAAACCTGCACATAAGAACCCAGAAAAATGATGTATTAGCTAGGAAGCACCGACTCTTACACGGACACGCATTAAAAGTGAGTGTCTACATATATACACACAGTTAAAAGTACTACGTTCGAGTTTTCTTTTTCTCTTGGTATCTCATTTTGGCTTGTTCCCTTGCTTCTGCACACGTACCCTCCAAATTTGGTTCCCAAGGGGATTCTCCGGGATGAAACACTGGAGGTAACCCACAATTTAGAAGTTCAGTAACATTGTTTTCACAATTAAGATTAGGTAATTCAATTGAAGTTCCTGAATGAATTTGACTCTGAGGAAATCCCATAGTAATGCTACTGTTGCAGCTAGGAGTCATAAGTGCACAATTTGCATTATGGTTAATGCCCTGCATCACACTTGTTGATCCGCCAGCACCTGATAATGGAAAAGCCACACAATCTTGTTGCACTGGTGATAAAGCCTAATAAAACAATCACATGGATGACAATTAGTTTCAGACATCACTAGTAAACATTTAGAGAGGAGAATGATAAAAAATAATAATTCATATACAATGTCAACATAAAGATTTTTTACACCATCAATCAATTATTATTAAACTTATATGATAGGCTATGATTCGCTGACAATGTAAAACTTTTTGCGTTAACATTGTATAAAAATTCAATTCTAAAAAATGGTGTTAAAACTGTTACCTCTGCTGCAGTCTCGGTAAGACTGGTACATTTTGTGACTTGAGTGTTTTTATCCATTAATAGACACTCTATTCCTCTATCTTCATGGTTGTATTTTGCGGCACTTTGAGAGCAGCCAAATATCTCCTCAGCACTTTCAAAGTTTAATTGAACATCATCTACATTGAAACCTTCACAAAGACTAGTCTCCTCGTGAAAAACTAGTTCCTTGACATCAGGGCATCCTTGAAGCTAATGAGTTAAGAAAATATGAAGAGAAAAAACCGGTATTAGCTTTGGTTCGGCACAACAATTAGCATTTAGCTACTAAACTAATCATATCATCATCAGCCAGTAAATCACTATTCAATTACACTCAGCTTAGATCATTCATCAATCTTTTACTCATCTATATACATAACACACATCATAATGCACCGAAATCAAAAATATAACATGTATTTGCTAAAAGTACAATACATGACAGCCCCTTATGTTGTAGGTCTGTCAGAAGTTTTTAAGGTTGTTGTGGTGTTAGAGCTAGCTCACACACGGAGGTGAGAAGCATTGTATTCTGGTATTTTCAAGTGAGATTGATCCCTCTCAACCTCAGGGTTAAAGTATTTATAAAAATCCCTTGGGCCTGAATCTTACACTTCAAGGAAGTAGTACCCACTCTCAGTAGCGTGGAAAGAGCGTGCGTAGTTACTTTCTTTCTTGGGGGAACGTGCCTATCTCCCTTTGACTCCCTCTCCCATACCGTTATGGATAGGGATACTTCACCCCACGTTTTCGCAGAACAGCAAGTGATATGGAAAATGGACGTCATAACCAAATGATGGACGCTCGTTCCATCAAATGGGCGGCCAGGAAGCCGACAGGGGTGATGTGTTACGTAGCCGCCCCTTAGTGAACTTCCCAAGCCGCCTTTTGTGAGCTCTCTACAAATATACCAATACATGACCAAACATCACAATTTCACTACTTCTAATTACCAATTCTGTCATTATTGTAGTTTTTCTTACCCTGTGACAGATTTTGTTTCATTTTATTTGTCACTTCAGAAAACCAATTACATATATATGCTTTTTAACTCCATTTTTGTCTCTTGCTATCTTCAGTTTTGTCTCTTGCTATCTTCAGGGTTAAAGTATTTATAAAAATCCCTTGGGCCTGAATCTTACGCTTCAAGGAAGTAGTACCCACTCTCAGTAGCGTGGAAAGAGCGTGCGTAGTTACTTTCTTTCTTGGGGGAACGTGCCTATCTCCCTTTGACTCCCTCTCCCATACCGTTATGGATAGGGATACTTCACCCATGTTTTCGCAGAACAGCAAGTGATATGGAAAATGGACGTCATAACCAAATGATGGACGCTCGTTCCATCAAATGGGCGGCCAGGAAGCCGACAGGGGTGATGTGTTACGTAGCCGCCCCTTAGTGAACTTCCCAAGCCGCCTTTTGTGAGCTCTCTACAAATATACCAATACATGACCAAACATCACAATTTCACTACTTCTAATTACCAATTTTGTCATTATTGTAGTTTTTCTTACCCTGTGACAGATTTTGTTTCATTTTATTTGTCACTTCAGAAAACCAATTACATATATATGCTTTTTAACTCCATTTTTGTCTCTTGCTATCTTCAGTTTTCTCGAAACTGAATGAGCGAATGACCTAGAGACTCATCGTTCTAGGTACAAGATCATTTAAGGGGCTGACCACTCACAACAGTGTTCTTCCATATGCACAAGTCAGGGGTCGAACCCAAGACCACATGCTCTAAGGACCCAATCATCTGTCATGCCGGTAAAAAAAAACTTTTTAATGGCAAAAATTTATTTTCCCCAACTAGAGAACATCATAAGAAACATCACATTTCCATGCATCATGGCACATGCATATGCATAATACAACACAATCTCATTTATTTTGAGAACATCATTACTCAATACATGTCATGCATCATGGCATTACATACGACTAATTCTTTACATTTCAGGAAAAGATACAATCAAATTCTCACAAAGTTCAAGCTATGAAGCCCGGGTACGACATATACACAAAAAGTGCCAAGAAAAGGATGAATGAGAGCATTACTATGGTCATAACATTTTGAATAAATTTGCAAACAAACACATGGAATGACAACTATAGGCCAAATCTTGGTGTGTTCTCTTTAACTTTAAAACTTATGTGCATCCAATTGGCAATGAGCATGGTTTTTCTTAAGCACGGTCTCATGTTCAGTGAACGGAAAACATAGGCACACTGGAACGTTTTTGCTGCCTTATATGCACCCCCGGCTTGGCTCGGATTCTAGACCTAGAAAAAGCTTTAAAACTTAACATAATGCAGATATATCAGCCAAACAAAATCAAAGAGTAGAATGAAATCAATACCTTCGGTAGGTTCGAGTCTGGATCAAACAAAAACGCTTGATCTTTGCAGTATTGTGCGCCATTTGAATTTGACGAAACAATAGGCGGTGTCTCAATCCAAGATTGTTCATATTTAACAGACGGCTCTTCTCCGTCCATCTTATTTTTCACCTTCTCCAAACCAAAGAAACCATCGTTCTTTTCATGCGTCCAATCCAACGGCTGACAGCTAGCAACACTACTCTCAACCGATAAACTCCCATCGACAAAATGTGGCCAAATCTTTGACAACTCTGCCAAAGACGGACAACCAGTGTAGAAACTAAGTAGCGCATGGCTATGCCCCAACACAAAACACTCACCACTAGAATTCCAATCACAAAATTGACACAGAGACAGTTTATAATCAACACAACGAACAATCGCGGAATCGATATTACACTTATCACACAACAAACTTCTCGGATGTCTCCGAGAAAGCGCGTTCGCGGAATGTACAATCGCATCGCAACGAAGACATAAACGAGCGGAATCTGGCTTGCAGTAAACCACAGCTCTAACAATCTCACAAAACTCACATAGTGCTTCCATAAACAACCTTATTCTGATCAATCTCACTGATATTATCATACTATAACAAATTCTTAACGCAATTAAGCTACTAGTACTACTACCTGATAAATCAATTGTGTGTAACTCACCTTTTGTTAACTCGGAGTTCGGTACTGTCGTGATGATGAAGAAGTGGAAAATCACCTTAAGAATAGTAGCTAAGTTTATAGAAGATGAAAGAGTCAAACCTAGCAGGTTTCGCTAGGTTAAAAAAAAGAAGTAAAAATCTGGTAGTGGTTATGAATTCGTGGTTTACCTGTGTTTGCTTCATTGATCTATATTCGTGTAATGCTCATTCTCACTCAGGAAATAGATGAGATTGTATTTCGTGGCAAATTTTGTGAAACTAAGATTAAAATAATTTAAGCTTAAGGTTTTTAAATTTATTTTATTTTTGTGGACAAAATTTAAAGAACTCGATTATAATTTTATTTCAGAATTTGTTTCGATGATTATTATTTAATAATTATATCATTTTTTATATTAATTTATTTTAAAATATATTTAAATTTTGAATGAATTTTGCCTAAAGATAGTCATGTAAGTTAAAATTTGAGGTTTTATTTGCGAGTTTGGAGAAAAGAAAATTGAATATTGATATTTGTTAAAGTGTGAGATTTTATTTGCAAATTTATTTGGAAGAAATAAAAATTAAAGTTTGTTTGCAATTTTGGAGGAAAGAGAAATTGACTGCTTTTAAAGGAAGAGGAGTAAGGAAGAAAATAGAGAAATATTTTTTATTTTTTAAATAGTATTTTTTTAAATAGTTGTTTTTTATTAAAATATTTTTAAATTTTAAAAATATTATGATGATATATATTAAATTTGAAAATTTTATCTAAATCTTTCAAAATTCTATAAATTTTCCCTTGATACAATTTCTAAAACCCTCTCAAAATAAGGAAATTTAAAAATTGTTGTTCTTGACCGGTTAGAAAACCCAAGAGTTATGGTTTAAAAAATACAAAATACATCCTAGAGAACGCAACAATCCACCAAGTTACTAGCGGTGTAGAGGGTTATCATGGATTAGAGCACATATAATATGAATCTACGATCCATCCAACGGTTCCCCGTATTATACGCTTGGAGATTAGTAAGTTGTTATAATTGTTTCACTATATCATAAGGAGGCGCACCACTTTTCAGGTACAATTCAAATTCAAATTTTATTCACTCATCTTACTCACATATTGATTTGAGCGTCGAAGTGCTAACCTTGCATGTCAATCTATTTCCCACTGTACCAAATGCTCAAGTCCAATGTTGCATCTCGCAGCCTCCAATCTCTGATTAATTTGGATTCCCTGGCAGAATAGTGGTGGCATCTGTGGGAATCGACTTTTGATTCTCGATTTACCATAATTGAATACCCGTCTATCAAATCCCCGAATCTAAGCTTATCAACCTATCAATTCGGATTTCTTGAAATTGGGCCACTAATCTTTTATCCTGGATTTACTCTGATTGCATATCAACTCCAATTCTCAACTTTTCAATCTTTGAAATCTAGTTCCTCCAACAATGGCGGGTTCTAGAGCCACTCACTTTGTTTCCCTGTGTGAGGCAGTTGTTGTTGCTCAAGTTGCAATAGATCCATCGTCTCCTTCTTAAAGGGGTGTTGATTAAGTCATAGTGAACACTTCACCATATCCAGATCTCGTTCAGCCTTCCCTGAGTGTAGGATCTACTCTAAAATATTGTTCCTTGGATAACAAGATGTTAGACACAATGTTGTAATAGTATGTATGACAAGTGTAATATGTAATAGGAAAAATAAATACAGAATGTAAAGTAACACAAGAATTGGTAACTTAGTTCGGTGCAAAATCACCTACGTCTAGAGGGTGTTATTCCAATGAGAGGAAATAAACTCTTAATAGTCAGAATTATAAATTGGTCTGATTTGAAATCTCCTAGTTCAATGTCTATTTTCCTAATATTACCTGTGAACTTTGATTCGGGATTCCCCCTAAATCTGAGACCCCTCACACTTTCAAACACTCTCCCAAGTGTTTGGACAGTTACAAAAGATTATGAATGATGGAACAATGTTACAACTCAAATACTTAATTCTCTTAACTTAGAAGTAAGACGCGATAATATAGTATTATTCAAACACAAAACACAAGACTCAAAACATATAAACATGCCAAGCTTTATTATGCAAGGTCTAAATCTTCAGAATGGACAATGCCTCCTTAAATAGCAACAGAGGTGCATATTTAAAAGCCCATTAGGGTTTTGGTCTTGAACATGGTTGAACTCCCCAAAGGTGCAAGCAACCAATCTTCAATTATGTTGATTGAAAATATTTGATTGATTAAATCTTGAACAAATCAGAATATTTTAAATTTAACATTGCTAAAAAGGATTTTGAGCAAAACTTTCTTATTCCAAAAAGCACATAAAAGATAAAAACCAATATTAAAGGAAACAAATCCTTAAATGCGCAAGAATTACTTAGACTTTCTTGCGTGTGAACCAACCCAGGGTAAGACAACTCATAAAATGAAGGATATTATGCTTAACATCTTGCTTTTTACTAAAGTGTTTAGATCATATAGAGATATGATGTCTTTCACCTTGGCAGAATATCTTGCTTCACATGTTGCATATAAATTTCTGCCAACCATATGTAATAAGTAATAACATGTTCCAAAATTCCAGTAAGACGAACCTTCATTCAGGCCTCTAGCACTGCCAGTGGTAACGCGGCCAGAGAGGTTGTTTAGATTCCAGTTACTACAAGATAACCTCAACATGCAAGGTGCAAACAAATTGTTGAACAACAAGTATAATATGGTTCGACAACAAAGCTCTCAAGCAGATAAAAAAAGGTTGCTTCATCTTGAATAAATCCTACACAACACAAGTCTAAGAGGTAACACGGTGCAGGAAGCCGCCTCTCAATTGAGACATAAGATTCATTTTGACACTCCCCAACACATATGCTCTGACGAGCATGTCAATCTAACTCTTCGGGTTTAAGAAGATTTAATAGGGGAAACTGTTGTACCCCAAAATTTTCCCTCCCATTTTCAAGACAAATTATTTCAATAGGTCTCCCCATGCTTCTAGGGTTCTCAATTGCTCAAGACTACTCAAGAATTGATCAGACAAACCCTCTTCCTAAGCAGTTGACCTACAACTAGGGTTTTGCTTCTCTCAAGAAAAATTGAACTTCTAATTCCTCAATTGGATTTCATGTTTTCTCATATGTCTCAAATAATCCTCATGCCAAATTCCAAGCCTTGCAACACAAGTTTGCTCAGTCAATTTGTCAGATGATTGAAAATCAACTATATTGGGCAAAAAGTCAAGTTTGACCGATTTACAGTCAAACTTCAAGATTTTTGGTCAACATCAACATTTTGAAGTCACATTCATCATTTGATCAAGGGTTGATCATGATCCATCAAGAAAACTCAATATTCATCAAAAATCAAAAGTTACTAAATTAGGATTTTCTTAAGGAGAAGTTAACTGAACTTTGACCAAGTATAACTTTCACATACTTCATCAAAAATTTCTCAACCAAAGCTCACTTTTGAATGAAATTCAATTCTCTGCAAATTTGTCTAACTAAGTTCAAGGCCAAAAATACTTCATTTGGGAGATATGGGTCAAAATATTACAAGTCATTTTAAAAGTCAATAAAAAGACACTTTTTGTCAAAGCAATTTACATCAAGATAAAATCTTTAAATGAAAAAACTAACAACATGAAGATTGTAGGGTACATCTTAGGGTTTCCAAAAATTCTAAGATCATTTTCATATGATAAAAATTGAGTGAGATATGATTTGTGTAAGTTGGGTAATTTTGAGAAAATGCATGAAGATCAATGTGAGCAAACTTGAATTTTTAGGCTAATGGGCTTATCTTTTAAGGTCCAACGTGTTTCCTGATCTCATAATAGACCTCTAAGTTCATTCATGCATCATTCTAATTTTTATTTCATTTATTTTTTATTTTATTCATTTAAATTCAAAATTAAATCAAATAAAATATTAAATAAAAGTGTAAAGCATAAAAGGCTTGAGATCTGAATATTTTTGAGGCCCAAGGTCACACTACAACCCGTGTAGACCTATTTCAGAATCAAATCTTCATGGTTTTGTAATATTTTAATCTATTTCCAAACAAAACCAAAAGATATGTTTTACATGATGTCCAAGCCCATCTCCTAACCTAATCTCTTCTCCTATAAATACACTTCATATTCAGACCAAAAGGACACGAAAAATTGCTCAAGAAACAAGGGTTTGGAGTTTGAAGTTTGCAAGAAAAAGGTTGAAATCGAAAACAAAGATCCAGCCATCGTCAAGCCAAGTTATCCATTCAAATTAATCCCTAAGGTATCATAGAGTAAGTTTTGATCATTTTCAATGATCAAAGATGCCTAAAACATGCATATGATGCATCGCCAGTTTACATGTTTTTGTGAAATTCATATTTTGATTTTTACGATGCTTTGACTTAAACTAACAACTCTAGCATGTTCCAGAGACAAAATAGTGCAGGTTTGATCCCTTGTATGAGGCCCATGATGCCATAATGGTCCATCACCATTATTGAATTGATTTGCACTATTTTGGTCGTATCTCTTTATATAAGTTGAATTAGCCAAATAATGCCACCATTAGATTCACAAGGGTCGATTTAGGGGGATAGAGTCCTTCTTGATCTCTAATGCGCTTTAATTTTACAGGTTGAAAAATAGCTTCACTGGAGAAGAAGACCGGAGCTAGGGCTCCGGCGCGTCTCCGGTCCACTGTTTATATTATATTTATTTATTGCATTTGTATAACTAAATGGAAGTGAAGTGCGGTTGGTTGAGGCGAAGGCTTGTAACATAAAGGACGTGGGTTCAATCCCTGTGTCTTGCAAATTTTTTGTTATATTCTAAATTAACATGCAGGTTTCACACGTATTATTCATTACCTATTTCTAAGCACCAATAAGCGCATAGCCTAG